ACAGGCGCGGATCACTACTTTCTTTGTATTGAAATCACTAGTGTGTGAATATTTACTGTTTGTAAGTGACAGGCGCGGATCACTACTTCCTGAGTATTGAAATCACTATTTAGTGGTAATAAGTGATAGGCGCGGGCCACTACTTTCGAGGTATTGAAATTTCTTTGAAATTAGAATGTTTGTGTTCTTTCCTATACCTTTATTCCTTTGAAGAGTTTCGAAAGTTTCTCTATTCTCCGAGCCCAGCCATTGTTTGGAGATTCTTTAAAAGTTGGGATAAGTGGTAAGGGTAGTGGGTGGGGCATGGAGTGATCTTGATCTGAGTAAATTGAGTAGGGGATGTGGGGTATGAGGGTGTTCTTCATCCAAAGTATTGGACCTAGGTTAGTCTTCAGCCAGGAGAATGGGTGATGGAGATTCTCAGGCTGTGGGTGGCCTTAAGTGGTAGGGAGAGGGAGGTTAGTTGGAATTGTGATCCAAGGAAATGGAGCTTTGTTGGTTTTGACCCAGGAGCTGCACTCTGGGACCGACCACACTGGGACCGACGACCACTCAATTACTAGTAAATTTTCTTCTTCAAAACCCTCTTCACTGCTCACTTTTCCCTTAACTTCACACACCCATTTCAGTTAACTCCTTATTACACACTCCTCTTCCCGCCTCACTTCGCAGTCCGGTTTCACCTATTAACTTCTAACTTCTTTCCAAATCTAAGGTAAGAGTGTCGCTCTGTTGTACAGTAGTCTGCACTGACAACTCTGTAGTGCAGTGGTCAAAACTGACGACTCTGTGATGCAGTGGTCAACATTGACGACTGTGGTGCAGTGGTCAAAGCTGACGACATTGTGGTACAGTGGTCAAAACTGGCGACTCTTAAGCGCTTAGCTTGACTTGGGTTCAACTTTAACTCCAGTAATTTTGTTTTCTTGTTGTAATTCGTTTTTTTTCTTTTGTTTCAGAAACATTACTGTTTAATTTTATTTTTAAATACAAAGCATTAAGCATTATATAGACAGTTTATTCCTAAATATTAAGGAAAATTATTGTATATTGACTTTCTTTCGTATTTAATCAATGATTGGTAAGTCTTAGTTATGGTGTTGGGAGAGTGATTGCAGGAGCAGAGATTTAATCTGGTTAGAATGTCTCAGACAGAGAGAGAGAGAGAGACAGGGAGAGGTGAGTGACAAATGTTGAGGGATTTGGTGATTTACAATTGGTCATTGGTCGCTGGCAAACCATTCAGTTAATGTGCAAAACATCTCCTGAGAAAAGATGAGGAACAGAATTATCTTAGACTAAAAGTTTGTTTATAAGATGAATCTTGATATGAATGGTAAATCATGTGAAAAAGAATTGAAACTTGAGATATGAACCCTCATATTAATGTTAATTATATTTACGGACATGAATAAGAATTGTGTAGTGGTTGGCTGACTTATTGTATTATGTGTTGGAAAACAATACATATAAGAACCTGGTTTGTAAATTATTTAATCATCAATATCGTCTGTGTATTTTGCATAGACGGCACAACACACAGCGATGGAAATTAGTTCCTACTTCACTTTCTACAAACATTGATCAGTTCTTTAAAGATTTTGATCGTAATGAATAGGTAGCTTTAGGTAGAATGGATTACGTGTAATGAAATCTTTGATGAGGTAGAAATGGGTGGATTAGTAATTTTGGTTTCATTGCAATCACTAGTGGGTGAATATTTAGTGTTCATAAAGTAACAGGCGCGGATCACTACTTTCTTTGTATTGAAATCACTAGTGTGTGAATATTTACTGTTTGTAAGTGACAGGCGCGGATCACTACTTCCTGAGTATTGAAATCACTATTTAGTGGTAATAAGTGATAGGCGCGGGTCACTACTTTCTGGGTATTGAAATCACTATTTAGTGGTAATAAGTGATAGGCGCGGGTCACTACTTTCTGGGTATTGAAATCACTATTTAGTGGTAATAAGTGATAGGCGCGGGTCACTACTTTCGAGGTATTGAAATTTCTTTGAAATTAGAATGTTTGTGTTCTTTCCCATACCTTTATACCTTTGATATACCTTTGAAGAATTTCGAAAGTTTCTCTATTCTCCGAGCCCAGCCATGGTTTGGAGATTCTTTAAAAGTTGGGATAAGTGGTAAGGGTAGTGGGTGGAGCATGGAGTGATCTTGATCTGAGTAAATTGAGTAGGGGATGTGGGGTATGAGGGTGTTCTTCATCCAAAGTATTGGACCTAGGTTAGTCTTCAGTCAGGAGAATGGGTGATGGAGATTCTCAGGCTGTGGATGGCCTTAAGTGGTAGGGAGAGGGAGGTTAGTTGGAATTGTGATCCAAGGAAATGGAGCTTTGTTGGTTTTGACCCAGGAGCTGCACTCTGGGACCGACCACACTGGGACCGACCACCACTCAATTACTAGTAAATTTTCTTCTTCAAAACCCTCTTCACTGCTCACTTTTCCCTTAACTTCACACACCCATTTCAGTTAACTCCTTATTACACACTCCTCTTCCCGCCTCACTTCACAGTCCGGTTTCACCTATTAACTTCTAACTTCTTTCCAAATCTAAGGTAAAAGTGTCGCTCTGTTGTACAGTAGTCTGCACTGACAACTCTGTAGTGCAGTGGTCAAAACTAACGACTCTGTGATGCAGTGGTCAACAATGACGACTGTGGTGCAGTGGTCAAAGCTGACGACTCTTAAGCGCTTGACTTGGGTTCAACTTTAACTCCAGTATTTTTGTTTTCTTTTTGTAATTCGTTTTTTTTCTTTTGTCTCAGAAACATTACTGTTTAATTTTATTTTTAAATACAAAGCATTAAGCATTATATAGACAGTTTATTCTTAAATATTAAGGAATATTATTATATATTGACTTTCTCTCGTATTTAATCAATGATTGATGAGTCTTAGTTATGGTGTTGGGAGAGTGATTGTAGGAACAGAGATTTAATCTGGTTAGAATGTCTCAGAGAGAGAGAGAGAGAGAGAGAGAGAGAGAGAGAGAGAGAGAGAGAGAGAGAGGGAGAGGTGAGTGACAAATGTTGAGGGATTTGGTGATTTACCATTGGTCATTGGTCGCTGGCAAACCATTCAGTTAATGTGCAAAACATCTCCTGAGAAAAGATGAGGAACAGAATTATCTAAGACTAAAAGTTTGTTTATAAGATTAATCTTGATATGAATGGTAAATCATGTGAAAAAGATATGAAACTTGAGATATGAACCCTCATATTAATGTTAATTATATTTACGGACATGAATAAGAATTGTGTAGTGGTTGGCTGACTTATTGTATTATGTGTTGGAAAACAATACATATAAGAACCTGGTTTGTAAATTATTTAATCATCAATATCGTCTGTGTATTTTGCATAGACGGCACAACACACAGCGATGGAAATTAGTTCCTACTTCACTTTCTACAAACATTGATCAGTTCTTTAAAGATTTTGATCCTAATGTATAGGTAGTTTGAGGTAGAATGGATTACGTGTAATGAAATCTTTGATGAGGTAAAAATGGGTCGATTAGTAATTTTGGTTTCATTGCAATCACTAGTGGGTGAACATTTAGTGTTTATGAAGTAACAGGCGCGGATCACTACTTTCTTTGTATTGAAATCACTAGTGGGTGAATATTTACTGTTTATAAGTGACAGGCGCGGATCACTACTTCCTGAGTATTGAAATCACTATTTAGTAGTAATAAGTGATAGGCGCGGGTCACTACTTTCGGGGTATTGAAATTTCTTTGAAATTAGAATGTTTGTGTTCTTTCCTATACCTCTATACCTTTGATATACCTCTGAAGAGTTTCGAAAGTTTCTCTATTCTCCGAGCCCGGCCATGGTTTGGAGATTCTTTAAAAGTTGGGATAAGTGGTAAGGGTAGTGGGTGGGGCATGGAATGATCTTGGTCTGAGTAAATTGAGTAGGGGATGTGGGGTATGAGGGTGTTCTTCATCCAAGGTATTGGACCTAGGTTAGTCTTCAGCCAGGAGAATGGGTGAAGGAGATTCTCAGGCCGTGGGTGGCCTTAAGTGGTAGGGAGAGGGAGGTTAGTTGGAATTGTGATCCAAGGAAATGGAGCTTTGTTGGTTTTGACCCAGAAGCTGCACTCTGAGACCGACCACACTGGGACCGACCACACTGGGACCGACCACTCAGGGCCTGACCACTCAGGCACCGGCCACTCAGGGCCCTACCATTGAGGGACCGACCATTGTGGGAACGACCACTCAGGGGCCAGCCACTCAGGGACCGACCACTCATTGACCGACCACTCAGGGACCGACTACTCAGGGGCCAGCCACTCAGGGATCAGCCACTCAGGGACCGACCACTCTGCGATTCTCTACCCATCTGTTTTTATTCTTGAGTTTCAATAAGAAAGTAAATTTTTGACATTGTATTTCTTACTATGTTGTGTACAACTATATGAAGTAATTGAAAAATACGGAATGACTAACATTCCCTTCTACCTATGTAACAATGGTCAGTGGGGACTCACAGAGACTCACTGTGACCGCTGTAATCCTGTTTTTTTTTCCTTTTATACTTTACCGCTCACAGGATGAGTATGAGGTGCACAGTAAACTAGCAGCTCGCACGGCAGAACTAAAAACAAACTAGTTGACTTTGCAATCTACTATGAAAAAGAGGCAGCTGGGCTGCTGTTGCAACCTCCCATGAGGGCGAAGGAGCTGGGTCGCTGTTGCAGCCTCCCATGAAGGCGAAGCAGCTGGGTCCCTGTTACTACCTCCCATGAGGGCGAAGCAGCTAGCTCGCTGTTGCAACCTCCCATGAGGGCGAAACAGCTGGGTCCCTGTTGCAACCTCCCATGAGGGCGAAGCAGCTGGGTCCCTGTTCCAACCTCCCATGAGGGCGAAGCAGCTGGGTCCCTGTTGCAACCTCCCATGAGGGCGAAGCAGCTAGGCCACTGTTGCAACCTCCCATGAGGGCGAAGCGGCTGGGCAACTGTCTCAACTTACCATTAGGACGAGGGAGGTGAGCCACAGTGACACTGACAATCAGGAAGAACAGCAGTGACATTACACTTGCCATCAGCAGTGATGACCACAGCGCGGTCTCTCTCGTGTCTCTTTCTGTTGAGACAAACATTAGACTTACATTTTTACATTTTACCTCTGTTCTTGCCCCCTATATTTCTGTTTATGTTACTCTATTATTTTTTGTGACTTTTTCATTTATTAAATTTTTACCTTTAATTATGATATTTTTTTGGGGGGGAAATAATGCATACTTATAACATTGCGTGAATGGTCAATATTAAAGATATTTATAAGCCATTTTATTTAGCCATTAGACAAAGAGTGACATAAAATGACAAATACTGGCTCTCCCACCTAGGCACAGTGACCTCCAAAGAAAAAGGAAACATTTACCATCACCCACTCAGCTGCTGTCTTTCCAGAGGAACGCAAACATTACATTTCAAATGTCTACCTATGTTTCTGCTATCCAGAGTGTAGTGCAGCATCTCTGCCTCCAACTCTTCACCGCCTCTTCAGTGTCTCAGTAAAGGCCCACACAGATCTGAGTCAATAGTACTCTGCCTCTACACCTGTTTACTGACACGAGTTCTCACTTCATGCTTCTGCTTCTCACGGGTGAAGCATCTTTACAAGTTTCTGTAATGCCTAAGCCACTGATAAGCCACAGCTGCCCCATTCCTTCATACTTTGGTAACCAGCCCCATCTTCAAAACGTTCAGCCTCCTTTTTGTTGCAACGTTTAATGCCTATGTGTTGGACACATGCAAGTGTTGGTGCCACTGTCCACTGGTACACTCCCCGCCTTGCCTTCATAGATACACTTCTGTCTTTCCGAAGATGCCTCACCAAGCCACCTGCCTTTTTCCTCTCACCTATTACATAGTTCTTCACACAAAGCAGAGAAGTCGGCCGACATGTCTATTCCCAAGAAGCTGAACACATTCACTTTCTCCATTCTCTCTCTTCACTCTGATATCTAAACTTTCATAGTTCTATTTATTTTTTATCCTCGTCTCCATGTTCTTTTGTTTAAGATGTTCACTTTAAAAAAAAAATATGCTGTAGCGCACCTATTGTTCTGTGGAACAAAATTGACAGTCCCCTATTCTCAACGGCCGTGTGACATTAACGGGTTTAGCACTTCTCCATGGGTACAGCAATACTACTACTACTAATACTACTACTACTACTAATAATAATAATACCATAACGTAAAAGGGCAACTTTCATAGGTATCTATTTTTGGATCTTACTTCTCTGTGATTTCTGTTCTTTGCATAACTGATTATTAATGATTTCATTTTTTCCAAGTCAAATATTTTATTAATCAATGGCCTCTACTCTACTGTATAGTTACTTGTATGAAGAAAAGATTTTTCTGTTTCCCCTGTCATATTCCTTCACACAGGATGGTTGTCTTGTCATTTCCCCATCAAACAGAATAGTTTCCCCTGTCATTTTCTTTCAAGCATATTTTTTTTTCAAGCCAGTATCAGACTGGATGGCATTTCATCTCATATTCCATCAGTGGATGACTTTTACTGTGGTGGATTTATTCCACAGAGTTAATGATTCCACTATGTCATCCATCATTTTTAGGTGGAGGAGGGATGGGGGGCTTGTGAGTATAACAGAGGGGACGGAGGAAGTGAGACTAACCGACTTTTTCCCCTCCCTCCGCGTTATAGTTATCATCCTGTCTCATCAAGGTAAGATCTTCAGTTAATGTCTAATGTGTCTGACATTCGCACCAAAAAGACAGTGTCCATATTTTTGCCATATATGACAACCCTTGCCCAGTGCCTAGCTAGGAACATTCAGCTGGAAGAATGGCAGGGGTGGGCAGCGTCAGACAGAACAGACACCATGTGAGGTGTGTCGACACGCCCACAGAAGAGGCGCGTCCAAATACTGCATTCGCCACTTAATTATCGATTGAAATATAGATTCAAGTGATTGTGAACCGTTAATAACATCAGAGCCACAGTCGTGCGGAGTTAAACATCACGCCTCGTATCACTACGTCACCGGTGAGAGTCAGCACGGTGGCACTGTGAGGGAAAAGTTCAATAGATAGGAGTAGCGAGGGAGTATATAGTAACAATAGTTTGATTGCCGGCTACTTGTTAAGGTAGGGTAAGTCTAGCTCCCGCTATTCCCCCCCTTTTTTCCCCCACCCCGAAAGTGATAGTTTGATTGCCGGCTGCTTGTTAAGGTAGGGTCAGTCTAGCTCCTGCTATCCCTTCCCCCCTCCCCCGAAAGGTAACGTGTTTTATATCTTCTAAATAATAAAGTGTTTATGTTTGTCAGTTTTTATTCTTTTTCTGTGCATTAATTTTCCTGAGGAGGAGCCAGCCTTAGTAATACTGACTGAAGTTGTTACAGGGCTGAGTAAGCCTTCACAAGTGGCGACCTTGCCAGGATTCGCTCGACTGAATCAAGATTCAACTCCATCACGAATCTACCATTGGAACTTCAACGCTGCATACCACAGACGGTTACCACCAGCCATGAGTAATCATTCTCTATAGTAGGACTACAGTACAGGTATTTAAAAGATTTGGTGATTGTTATAGTCTCAATTTATTGTAAGTCAAGTCAAGGCAGGAATACTAGTTAATTCTGCCACCTATTTTTGTGTGAGCTTGAAACACTTTGGAGGATTAGACTCTATGGACCCGAGATTTTCCAGTGAAAATTTATTTCATTGAGCTCTTTATTATATCAAGGGAACTGTCGTAGGACACTTTTGATTTATTGGTGAGAAGACTGGATGGTCAAAGGACCCCATTCTACTTACTGTTTGCTCGGAGCCGGCATAGAACCCTTCGTTTTCATTAATACATATTGTTTAATTGAAGCAGGGATCGAGCCCTCTGGTTATTTGCAGTTTGAGCGGAGCAGGAATTGAACCATCCGTTTTCTTTAATACCCATTTCATTTCCCCTGAAAGTTTAAGTTATTCTTGCAAGTATGGAGGAATACCAGTTTTGGATGAACGCTGGAAGTAAGTGAGGAATAACAGGGAAAATTTAGAATCTTTCATTAGTGCTAAGATCCAGGAAAGACTTGAAAGAGAGACAATTGAGAGAGAAGAGAGACAGTTAGAAAGGGAAAGACAGGAAAAAAAGGAGATAGAGAAAATCGAAAGAGAAGAAGAAAAGGAGAGAGAGAAAATCGAAAGAGAAGAGAAAAAGGAGAGAGAGAGAATCGAAAGAGAAGAGAAAAAGGAGAGAGAGAGAATTGAAAGAGAGAGCCAAGAAAGACAGAAAGAGAGCGCGAAGACAAAAAAGAGCGTGATAGACTTGATCGTGAGGAAAGAGCTAGAGAACGTGAGGAAAGAGCTAGAGAACGTGAGGAAAGAGATAGAGAACATGAGCTGAGAGAGAGAAAAAGATCGCCTTGAATTAGAGAATAAAAAGTTAACTTTACACAACAACAATTAGAGGAAGGAGTAATTGAACATCATGCAGCTAGTGCACATATTCCAACACCTAATTTACCTCCCTTCACAGAGGTTAAAGACATTACTTCATACATTATCAGGTTTGAAAATACTGCTACCCTCTGTGAATGGCCTGCTGACACCTGGGCTACCAGGTTAGGAATGTTATTTTCTGGTACAGCTTTGAATATCTATGCAACTTTGTCGCAGGATATCATATGTAATTATAACCTACTGAAAAAGGCAATCCTTAAAGCATATCAAAAAAACACTAATTCTTACAGGAAAGATTTCAGGTATGCCACCTTACAGCCTGGCCAGAACTTTCAGCAGTTACAAGTAACACTCTTTCGCTTGTTCGACTTTTGGATAGAGAGTTCAGGAATTGATCACAGTTATGAATCTCTTCGAGACTTCATGGTTGCTGACCAGTTCCTGACAGCTCTTCCTCGCCAGATATGAACATTCATTAGAGAACGTAACCTGATTAAAGCTGAGGAAGTTGCTGAGGCCGCTGACTTGTATGCTGAGGCTCACAATTCCTATAAAGACCTAAAGGGATCGAACCTTAAGGGCAATGGTTCACCTGAACCAAAAATTAAGAAACCTAAAGTAGAAGCAAAGTCACCAGCTATTATGCCAACATGTCATCGGTGTGCTTGTATCGGACATAAACGTCCAGATTGTCCTTCCAAGAAAATAGAGAAAGTTGGAAGATGTTTTGTTGATGGTAATGACCAAGCACCCTTCTGTTCAGGAGCAGTTAATGATATAAAAGTCTCAGACATATTACGTGACACTGAATGTACGTGCATAGTAATTTCGGACAAGTTGTTCCCTTACTTTAAAACCTCTCGTGTGTCCTCTATTCTTTCAGATTACTTGGGTCGTGAAAATACTTTCCCTACAATACGTTGTTACTTGAAAACTAAATGGTTCACCGGTTGGACTAATGCGGTACTAGCCCCAATTACTTGTTCTATAATAGTGGGTAACATTAAAGGTGCCGTTCTTCCTTCAGAGGCGGATCTTTCGTCACCACCCGTGGATCCAAGTTTTCCAGTTCTTCCTTGCAAGTTAAATAATCCCCTTAACAATTCCGCACCGGAAGCTGCATTATCTCGTACTGTTCATTTGGGGGTGGAAACAGATGATACTGCTCTCGATAGTGAGGTAGCAGGATCACCTGTCCACTCGACAGGTGAAAATAAGGGTATTGCCTCCAGCACTCTAATGTCTTGACTAGGGCTCAGACCATAACCACGGTTTCTCCTACCTCCTCTTCTCCCACCGTGAGTCCTTTTATTTTCCCAGATTTTATGGCCAAGGATGACTTTGTCAATATACAGTGCAATTGCCCTTCACTTCGGGATTGTCATAATCAAGCTTTTAACAACAAAGTTATCCATGGGAGATACGTATCTCATAAGTTTGAATATATTAATGGTATCTTATATAAATCTGTATTTAAATCTCATTCTTTAGTGATAGATTATTCCCTCCTTGTTGTTCCTAAACCATGTCGAGAGGCTGTTCTTCAAATGGCTCATGATTTGCCAGTGACCAAACACTTGGCCCATCGTAAGACATGGCATAAGCTCAAGCACACTCTCAGGTTACAAAGAAGTATAGTTCTTGCAATAGG